CCTAATATGTTTCTAAATATAAATTTTATAAATTAAACATAAAAATAAAATTATATTAATAATATGATATAATAAACATTAATTTAAGAAATGATAACGATATCATAAAATATTAATTAAATTAATTTTAAATTATTTTAATTTTAAAGTAAAAGATTATAAAATTTACATAAAAATATTAATTATTAAAAATTGACATAATATTAAAAAAAATAACACATTAATAAAATTTTAATTAAAAAGTTTCAATTACTTTTAGAAATTTACTACAGTTATGTTAAAAAAATTTATGGTATAATTTTTATTTATTTACATTTAATGAGCATATTTTGATATATTATTTTTTTACACATAAGAGTATTTTGATATTAATGTAGTACATAATCGAATTATTTTGTAAACTAAATAATAAAAATATATTTAATATATTATCATCAAAATATACGTATAAAAAAATTTAAATTTCAGTATAAGAGATGACTGAATCCCTACTTAATCCATGTTTGGATTGACATATAAAATGACTAGGAATGGCAACAAGACGGGTCGGGTATGAGTTTCATAATACTCGTCCTTATCTCCGTAAGTCAAACTCATCCCTGTATTCTTACCTGTTAGGTATATAATTTTCTTCTTCATTCTCGTCCCTGTCGAGTATCGGGTATACTAGTACCCGTAAAAAATTATTTTTTTTATAAAAAATACATAATATTTTAAAATTATTTTTCTATTATTATAATTATAATTAGATTATTTCTCTATCTCATATTTTAATTGAGAGATTTCTTAATAATTAAACAACTATAAATATTTCACATTATAATAAATAATTATACATAATAAAATACTAAATCTTTTTAACATAATTAAATCGGGGACAGGTACATGTATGGGTACAGACGCGGGTATGTATATATCCGTACCCGTACTTGACTTAATATAGCGGATTTTACATGTACTTGTATCCGGTCAAACTAAGTATTCTCTATCAAAGTTGGGACGGATTCGAATATTATCCACGAGTACGAATTTATTTGTCATCCCTAAAAATAACACAAACAATATAATTGTCAAATACACTCTTGAACGATATTTTTATTATCAATATCTAATGATATTGAATTATATAATCGTTTCTAGTCTTTATATTTTAAATGAATCATTATATCTTTTAATTATTAAAAAATACTTTTTAATTTATTTATTAACAGATTTTCAATTTTTTAATACACTCTAATTTTGTATTTAATCAACATACAGATATTATATAAAATATTTGAATTTTTTAATAAATTAAAAAAAAAAAAAAAAAACGGACTTTTCAAGAAGGAATATAAAATAGTTTAAAAAGTTGGGGGTGGAAACCCCAATAAAAAGAAGAAAAGGAGACCCCCAATGAATGAACCAGTCTGAGCCATGTCCGAAGTAGACAGCGATCTGGACGAGCACCTCCAGAATCTGATAGAGCGCTCTCCCTTGAACTGGACCTACGCAATCCTCTGGCGATGCTCCTCTCCCCGCTCCCTCCTGTCCTTCCACCGCGGCTACTGCAGGACCACCGGAAAGCCCCGCCACCTTCGCATCCTGGGATCGCGCATCACCGCCGCCGAATCGCTCAGCGACGCGGAGTGGTTCTTCAGAATCTCGGCGGCGCAGTCCTTCCGCGTGGACGAGGACTTGCCCGGCCACGCTCTCTGGGGTTCCAGCCCGGTGTGGGTGAGCGCAGGGGATTCGGAGGGTCCGCGGTGGGAGAGGGCCGCCTGGGGGAAACAGTTCGGGATTCGCACGTTTCTCTGCGTGCCCCTCAAGGAGAGAGACGTCTTGGAGTTGGCTTCCACGCAGATCGTAGCGTCGCCTCTCAAGGAGAGAGACGTGTTGGAGTTGGCTTCCCCGCAGATCGAAGCGTCGCCGTTTCATGTTATTAAAGTCATGGCCGATTTCATTTATCCCATTGGCCTTCCTCGCCTCTCTCCCATTGAGCCTCATCTTCTGAAACAATTCAGGTAACACTCATTCATTTTTTTTATTTTTTTTTACTTAATTATTTTGTTTTACTTATTTTTTAATCAAAATTAGATTAGTGTAAATGCAAATCTTGTAACACTAGTGTAATATAAAAAATAAAATAACTATTCTAGTTAGTATGTGAAATTAAAAAAAAAAAAAATAAATAAAATAAATATGTACAAGCAAGAAATTATGTATACGAGTGTTTATATATATATATAAACTTTCAAGATGTGAATAATATACCTTATGTATGGTAAGTAAAAAAGATTAAATACAAAATTAGAGTGTCAAATGGAATGTTTTAATTTATTTGAGTGTTCAAAAATTATCAAAAGAAAAAAATAGACGAGTCTTGAACAGTTTATTTTATGAGTTACATTGATCTAATCAACATGAATTAAATAATAATATTAATATATATTTAATGAATTGAATAACAATATTGAATTCCTTGATAGTAGGAGGAGAGGGGGAAGAAAAGAAGAAATTATTAAATAATGTAGGATCATAAATTTTCATGATTCCGGTCAACCTTTATATAATATATATTTAATTAAAAATTTTAATTTATAAAAGAAAATTAATAATTCTTAATTATATATTATGTAAAAAATATTAAAATTATAATAGTGAGAATTCAAGTTAATTTTTAAGAAAGGAATCAAGGATTAATTGAAAATTATTCTTAATCTCGAGCACACAACACCGTTGCTACACTCCAGCACACCAATTTTGCATTTAATTTTGACTTAAAATTTAAAGTCTAAACCCAATTATTTGTTTGCATTTAATTTTGACTTAAAATTTAAAGTCTAAACCCAATTATTTATTTAGGGTTTAGGTTGACTCATTTTGCTAACATTATTAAATTCTATAATTATCAACCTAAATGCTCAAAGTTAAACTCAAATTAGACTCTGTTCCTGCTTAGAAACACTCCTATTACTCTTATTTCGCGATCTTTCAAGTTTTCAGTGCCAACCGAATACTATCTTTAAAGGGTGGGGAAGGTATTTGCAAAGACACTCCGACGTTCAAGTTAGTGTTCGGTATAGAGCGATAAAGGCTTTTATACTAGATAAATCATACCTGTTTTCTGTCCCATCACCTGTGTATTTATAGTGACGTAATTGGGCCTGGTGGGCCTTCTGCCTTGGGAGATAGGTAATACTTTGGTTAACCTTGATCTCCCTTAATTAAGCACGATAAACATTATGTAATGGATATCCTGACTTGTCATTGTCCCATGTGGGTTTGCGCACTTTGGGTCTTCGGCCAAGTTTTTAGCCGAAGAGGTATTCAATTGTTTTCGTGACCGAGAGGGTATTCGGTCATGTTCAGGGCCAAGGGGAGGGTCAATCAAGCTTAAGGCCGAATGGGTATTCGGTCGTGCTTAATGTCGATGGGGTAGCTTGGATGCTTTACTCTGATGCTTTTCTTGCCCATGTTAGGGTAGTCCTTCACAATTTGTTGCATGAGTACTCGACTTTCTATAAGGCCGAATGAGACTAGTTACCCTTCGGCTGTTGCCCTAGCCGAAGGGGGGCTTGGGTTGGGTACATTTCGGCCTTCTCCTAAGCCGGGGGGGTAGTCGGCGTATGGTGTGGCCGGGGGGGGGGGGATTTCCCAGTACACTGCCCCCCAAGCCCTAGGATGAAAGACGAAGGGGTT